CCCCCCCCGGCCCCTTTCCCCCTGTAGGTAACTTACGAGTGCTGCCAGTGAGCGCGCGTGTCCTGCGTATACTGTGAGTGTACGTGCGGCACCCGGCTTACAACATCGGCCGTGGATGGCTTGCCGCTTGTGTTCTTGGCTTTTGGGGCCTTTGAGCGCGGCGTGAATAGTTGCTCTGTACTGCTGCTGCATGGCGCAAGAGGTAGCGCAGTGTCTGTATGTATGCATGTATGCACGCGTGTTGCACAACATGCATGCATGTCCCAGGTGCCACCCTCTCCAATGTGAGATACAGTCATTGGATTGGCACCAAGGCCATTGTCTGTGGCCGGCAATGCTGTCTGTCCTTGGCTCCTTGTCATGACGAGTGCCAAAAAGAAGGGGGCGTTGGCACGAGGGAATGGCTCGCGCGTACTTGTCCTCCGCCCCGGCCATCGCGTCGAAACTCACTAAAGAACACGCACCCGTGGGAACAAAGTATTCCTCTCAGTGTTGTCCAAAGCACGTCCGAACATGCATCACCAGTCGATCCCCTACCCGTCGCGCAGCTTACCTCGTAGACAACCGACGAACCCACCAACCCCCTGTCCCCCGTCAGTCACCGCCTCGATCGGGTCGACCCAAGAAAAAATCCTTATTACGACCACAGCGTGGCATGCCAGCCAGGACCAGATCCCTACGTTCCTCCTTGCAACCTCCTTGCAGCCCCCCATCACCGGATCCAGCTCGACGTCCGTCCGTGCCTCTGCGCGCCGAAGGAGAGGGGGCGCGCCGGCTCACCGAGACGGTGAGACGACGACGCCTGTCCCGTCCGCCCAATGGCCCATGGCTCATGGTCCAATGGTCCGCGCGCGTCGCAAATCTCCGAACGGATGAGCCGAGCCACGAATCGCGCCCGCAAAGTCCAGGTCAAGGGGTCCTGGATCTCCGGCGCCAACGACAGGAGAGCTTCACAGCCACTGATACCGTCGCGACCAGAATGGAGGCAGGATTCCTGGTTTGACAGGAGAGAGAGAGAGAGAGGGCGACAATGGGTAAGGTGAGGAACCCCGGTGTGCATGGAGATTGGCACCCCGTCTGCTCTGCCGGCGGTCGAGTGTGGATTAAGCGGTGACTAGCCAGCCGTCGAAACCGTCAAAGGCCGCCAGCCCATCATCCCGTCGTTCCGCCTCCCCGAAGCTCAGTCCTGCGCCGACGATACGACTGCAAATCAAACCCTTGCAGCGACTCGACCGGGCCTCACCCATAGACGTCGCCTACCTGAGGTTCAATCAAGCACTGTACTGTACTGTATTGTACAGTACCGCACCCCGTGCGCACGTGTGCAGAGTCTGGCCCAGCCTGCCCGATCGCGTGGGCGCTCGCGTCTCGACCAACAACCGCACAGGTGTCTTCCCGAGGACGCGGCCCATTGCGACCCGGCGCTCGGGTCTCCGGCTGGCCGAGGACAGCGGAACGCAAGGCGGAAAAGGCAAAAGCTCCCTTCGCGCGGGCGGGCGTGCGTGCTCATGTGCAATGTACGTGCGTTCCTTGCCAATGAGCCCATCGCCATCAAAGGAGCTCTGCGGCTGAGCTTCTGGGAGCCCTTGCCGAAGAGACAGGTCAGGTCAGGTCAATGACGCCAACCAAACATCCGGCTCACCGACCGCAGCAAGGGAGCTTTCCTCGCTGGTTCTCACTCCTGAGTCGCGAATCGCACAATTGTGGTCCCCGCCTTAGTCGAGTGCTTGCGCTGAGAGAGAGCTGGACAGGGCAGCGCGTGGCGTCAAGCCCATGGCCAGCGCCGCCCGATCTGTCAGCTTCAGGGTCCTCTCTTCGCCACAAGCGCTGACGGGCCGACCGAGGATCACTGCGCAACGGCGTCACCGAGCAGGGCATACGTAACAGCTCACAGCTCTCCCCGTCGGGATCGTTGGTGCAACGGCCGTTGCGTCAAGCGCGGCATGCTTGGGTTTGACGGACTGACAGAGATCAGACACACCCGAGGGGATGGATGACGGACGTTGTGCCCCGGTTGGGGACAACGTGGTCGTAGGATCACGCCCTCCGTGTCGTAAGACGCCCATGGCGAAGCAGTACAAGTCCATCTCGGCAAAGCGAGTGGCCCAGCCAGCTGGATGGACGATGTGAGTGAGCGAGAGGAGGCGAGGCAATGCCGACGACCAACGCCTCGCGTAGGTGCCATCATCAATCTCCGCCAGAGCGTGGCATTGCCAACCTTGAATTGTGCCACGCGCGCGTCCCAACGCTGTGGGCGAGCGAGCCAACGGGCCGGGTCCGTGTCTGTCTGTGTCGGTGTCGGACGGGAGCAACACGCCAACGGACCCCCATGATCGTGCGTGCGTGCATCGTACAGTGCAGTATCACTCAGAGGCCTCGACGGGACGGATGCGAGATGCAGCGCCTGGCGCTCTGGTTCTCCGCCACGAGCCACGGCCCCGCTGACACATGGGATGCGGACCCGGCGTGACGCCCGTTGTCGTGAGCGGTGTGTTGGTTTGCCGCAGAGAGGAGGAGAGGAGAGGAGAGCACAGTGCGCGGCAGCGACGGAGGAAGCGCACCAGTCCCGCGTGGGTCCCAGGAATCAGGGCGGGAGCCTCTGCCTGCTGTGCGCGTGCCGTACAGTGCCCGTCTGCACGCAGTGCGTGCGTGCTCTGTCGGCGGCGCACCTACAGCAGCTGTGGAGCTCGCTCATCAACGCGGCAAGGATCAGGATACAATTGCAGCTCCAGCAGCGAGCATCACGAGCGACGAATGGGCCGAGGGCCACGAGTAAGCTGAGGTGGGACACGATGGGCATTCACGGCTTTGCGGACGCGTTCCCTGGCGGAGCGCTCGCTCGACTGGCGATGCCGTGACACGTCCCGGCTGCCGGGATGCTGCGGCGCTGGGCGGTGGCACGACAGGCGCCGCGAAGAACACCAGTCAGTGGTGAGGCGAGGTCGGGATCCGATGGCTGCTGCTGGCGAGGCAGCCATCTGGCCGCAAGCGGCATCCGCACGGACTGGCAGCGACTGGTCTCGTACCTGGGGCATCGCGCACATGGCAGCAAACCCGCCAAGAGAACGGTTAGGTTGGCTCGACGAGCCGAATTATAGTCCCCGTACCCCTTGCTTCAATGTTCTGAGGGAGGGGGGCAATGGAGTCGAGAGTCTGGAGAATCGAATCGCCAGCTCCAGCTCGGTCCCCGTCATCATCACCGCCTGTGTCAACCTCAGGTGCGTGCGTTGGTTCGCGGGATGGCAGGCAGGCAGGCTCGCTGGGCACTTCCCATCTCAGCGGGTGCTGCTTGGTGCGGGCGCGTGGCAGCAACGGACTCGTGCGGGCGGGCTGGCGGGGGGAGGACCTGGAACAGTGCATGCCCGAGTGCGTGCCCGGATGGCGGAGGGGGGGCGTGCGGCCAGTGCCAGCCGCTGCAACACTCG